GACTCACCCAGCGTCAGGTCATCCAACAGCGTGTGTTGCCTATCTATGAACAGTTGCACAGGCACGTCCGGTCACATGTTGCACTAGCATCCGGTCAATGTTTCAATAGCATCAACCGCATGTTGCACTAGCGTCCAATCCAAGTTGCAGCGTCCGGTCACGCCTGAAATCCTCCTTTTCAACTCAAACTTCACCACCCTTGCTTCCATGTGCTAACCACCAAGTGTATCACCAATGTGCATATATGTTAGCATTTTCACAAAGCATTTTCAAGGGTTAATTATTAGCACACTAGGTCCCTAATGCATATGTAAGAATCATGTCACCTAGTGGCACTCGATAACCGCTTAGCCAAAGATTTCTCCTTTTTATAGTACGGGCTATCGATCCTAAATACACTCACACCCTCTATGGTGTCTTGAGTGCCAAAATAAAAACCTATTTGATACCTCTGCCTTGATCATCTTCAACACATGTCTATCTCCATCTCCATGGACTTTATCACCATGCTCCATCACTTGGTATGTACCAACCTTGCTCACATGACACTCATGACAAAGGTTAGTACTTAGGTTTCATCAATTAGCCAAAACCAAACTAGGGCTTTCAATCTCCCCCTTTTTAGTAATTGGTGACAACCTTTTCACAAAGATATATAATAAAATCTTTTTGGATTCATGTTGCTTGCCCAAATATTTTACCATGTGTAAAGGATATGGATAAGTTTCATAAATCTGAATTGGTAGCATTAGCTCTCCCTACATATGTGCTAAGAGTTTGGATTTTATAGCTTGCACATATGTATAGTTTGGAAGTGTGGAGAAGTAATGACTACCAAATGATACTAAGGTGTAAACAATTAACCTTTAAAGCGTGATAGCAATCGGAGTTGCCATTTGAACACCATCCTTAGCACCAAAATTTGCTAGATATCACTTGAAAAACAAAGACAAACTAGATACCTCGTGAGACCAACATTAGAAGCAAGGTTCTAGTACCACTTGTTAAAGCTGAAGGAATGTCTAGCTATCTTATGCATGCTAGTTTTTCATTTCATCTATGGTGTCTTTATAGTATGGCTATTGATCCTAAATATACTCACATCCTCTATGGTGTCTTGAGTGCCAAAACAAAAACCTATTTGATACCTCTATCTTGATCATCTTGGTTTTTGTTTTTCTCTTTCTTCTTTGCTAAGTAGAGCTTGATCATCTTCAACACGTGTCCATCTCCATCTCCATGGACTTCATCACCATGCTCCATCACTTGGTATGTACCAACCTTGCTCACATGACACTCGTGACAAAGGTTAGTACTTAGGTTTCAGCAATTAGCCAAAACCAAACTAGGGCTTTCACCCGGACGTGCGCCGCCGACTTTGTCCGCCTCCCTCCGCTGCCGAAGGAATCCACCTCCATCTGTCGCGCTGCTCTGCTCGCGGCGAGCTCGACCTGCTCGCGCGAGGAACGAAGTAGAAAGGAGGAAGAAGAAAGAGAGACTGACGAGCGGGCCCCTTTGTTATTGTGTACGTAAATAGATTTGGGGGCTCAAATTTTGGTGCTGCTGTTGGAGTGGAAGCAGAAAACTGAGCCAACAAAAATGGGGGGCAGCACCCAAATCAGATTTGGGTGCTGTTGGAGTTGCTCTAACTATGAATTCTTCTGTTTTTTATCACAAGTTATTTTTTTAAACACCAGATAATCTATATTAAATTTGCAAATAATCCCACTAAATTTTATCGATTCCATGTCCTATCTTGCATTGACACAAAACTGAATTTGGATTCCTACACATAACTGAATTTGGTTTATATATATTATATTAAAAACTCTTTCCAAATCTTCAAAATTCAAATTTAGATCGGATCCAAATATTACCCGTGCCACTTTCACCTCTAACGAGGACACTCAGACATCTGTCAACTTCATTGAAAATACAGTAAATCTACTTCACGAACAATTAACCAAACTACAGTAGTTCCTCGTAAAAAAACCAAAGCTACAGTAGTAGCAGAATGACGTTTTGAAAGACAGTGAGAGCAGTTCAAAGCTGTGCTCGGCTACCATTATAAGCCAGCTTATTAGCCATGGTACAGTATTTTTCTCTTCCAACAAATTAGCCGTACAAATCAGCACAATCGGCTTATAGACCAGGCGAACAGAGCCCAAATGTCTCACGAAATTAGTGGCCCAAGCGACGTTCCGAAAGACGGTAAAAAAGCGGTTCATATGGCTCACCGAAGTAGTAACTAGTCCAACAATGCATGGTAAACACCATGCGTCCGGACGTCCGCGCCTGCAAGTCGTTTTCGCGCCGTTTCGTGCACCCACGCGAGGCCCGTGTCGGCTCGAGCGTCACCATCATCGAGAAAAGAGAGAGGAGGGGGCGGCGGATGCCTAGTAGGCGCCGGAGGAGGAAGAGACTCCGATGCGAGATAGAAAAGCGAGGAGGGAGATGCAAACATCCGATCTACTTTTGAAACATCCAGATGCAACACTTACAACATACGTCTGAAGGTAGATGAAACACTTCAAATATGCATATGAAACACTTGCTGCAACACCGGATCTACTTTTGAAATATTCAGATGAAACACTTGCAACATACGTACGAAAACAACTAAAACACTTGGAACATATACATCTGAAACACTTGCAAAAACATATGCAACATCCAGATAAAACACTTACAAACATACGTCTCGAAAAACAGATGAAATATTCGGAACATACATTAAAACATACGTGTATAGCCATTGCAACATGTGCAACATTCCGATCTACTTTTGCAACATCAAGATAAAACAACTGAAACACATGAAACATACCTTTGCAACATGGGCTTTAAACGCAATGTCATCTCGTTGCTTGGATGAATAGCGGATTGTCGTTGTGGAGCTCGACGGCGGCACATGGAGCTCGTCGTGCACCAGCGACGCGGGCAACTCGCCGACGGGACAGCTTCACACGAAGCTCACCGCCCCCCCCTATTCTTTGGAGCGTCCGTCGTGGAGGCTCGCCGGCTCGCCAAATCGGTGGAGGCGGCCGTGACGAGTAGGCAGCATGATGGAGCCGCAGACGCTGCGTGGCCAGGCGTGACAGGACAGCACAATGGCGGGCGGCTGTGTGCGGTGGGAGGAAGCAGCCTTGACGACGGGCAGCTTGATGGGGGTGGGCTGCTCAGTGGAGGCGGACGGTGAAGATTTTTTTTTTTTACTAGGTGCGGATGAAAGAGAGCGAAGACGTGTTATCGAGTGGAGAGACACGTCCGTCCGACGCCCGATGGAATCATTATCGAGGCAACAAAGATGGAACATCTTTAGCTAGCAGAGCCGTGCAAGAGCGGTCACCGCATGGGGCAGCCGCCGGCGGGGATATCTGCGACCGTGCGACGCCGCCTTCCCCGCCCTGCGAGTCGGGCCTGCGCACGCTCCGCAGCGACGCGAGGAATTCACTCGGGGTCGACCGGGTCGTGAGTTGATTGGACTCCCAGGCCAGACCGCCACAGTGAGCGGATTTCGTCGGGAAGGGCCGGGGTTAGTTAGAAACCCGAGTGGGCTAACGGAACGCAACGTTCATTGTGGGCTGGGGGTTCAGTATGCGTCAGAGATACCCCGTGGATCGGGCCGCAACCCCGTCCCAATTTGGATAGAGCAATTCTGCTCTCATCATCCTAGAGCTTATTTGGATAAACCATTTCTCCGAACAAGCACTTTACTTGTATGCGGTGAGCATGTTTCAACAATTCAGCTACCATCATTCTAAAAAAAAAATCAGCTACCATCGAGGCAAACGAATCACTGCATCCTGCGCCTGACCCAACGCCATGAGCCAACGGGTAAGTTTCGAATACTTTCGAATACGATAGTCATTTTAGTTTGTCATATGTTACATTTTTTTTATCAAATTTTCTTAACCTTTGAGCAAGTTTCTAGAAAATGGTGTGAAAGTAAACGGATGAATGAAACACCTTGACGAAGCATACAGCCGATAAACAAAACTCAGGCCTGCGATAGTCAGCCTACCATTTTACAAATATATATACCCCCTCAGTGAAAACCGAGTTACTGGTTCCTTGCCTAGCCTAGCCTTTTCGAACCACTTTGCGACTCCCGTCCTGTGGACCTGCTTTGCCCGGAAGCTATGGAAGCGGGATCCTAGTACTGTCGGATGAACAACGCACTGTACAAAAGTCTTCAACGAGTCGTCTCCTATTTGCACTGCACCGATGACTTAGAGCAAGGCCAATATGACTGTAAGAATTTTTGCAGCATGTGTCTCAGCTCACTCAAATAATAGTTAGTTTTTTACCATTAATATATAGCTCATTTGTTTCTTCCATAAAAATTTTTGGTTCTTATGTCTAAACCGACTATAAGTTTACAGTCGGTTTCTCTTTTCTCTCTCCTCTCTTATCCTCTCCTCTCTCTCTCCTCTCCTATCCTCAACTTGATTATAGCACGCTATTATACGGAGTACTTGCTCTTATGAGCGTCGAAAAAACAATGCACGATATTGCAGTGGCTTGTGCAGTTCCAACTTCAAGGACCAAGGATGGCAAACCGATTGCCGAGATCAACAAGCAGAGAGGATACCGAAGCCGTCGCCGCACGACTCCCGAGCAGGCAACATCGACGGTAGAAGCATTCATTCAATGCCTGCCGGGAGGCGTGACAGCACAGGGGACATTCGTGCCCAAAGATCTCGGCATCCTCACATCAGTCTTCTACTACCCTTCTCTTATCTTAAGCTAAAGTTAAGAAAATATGCACACTTGCATTTGCATTGCATCCTGGCTGCTGTGGCATCTGTAATCTGTGGAAATATGGATCCCTGCGCCTTTTTTCCCCACCAAAAGCAGCAGCAGCAGCAGCCGGCTCCCCAAAAGTTTACTTTAGACAAAGGTTATGGTGTACGGCCGGGACTGATTAGCCCCAAAAGAGCCTACTGAAAGCCCTAAACCCTTCACATAATCTGTAAAGCAAGTGTGTCCACAGTCAGCTAGGCCAGGCGCCCTTGGCGAGGGTGACCACCACCGCCGCCACCAGGCTGCAGCATTCCGCCGGCAGGCCCCTTGTTGTCCGCGGCCGCCTTCGCCATCCCCATCCCTGCCGCCACGGACCAGAGGTCGGCGCCGTTGCCGCCGTGGCTGTTGCCGGCGAGGTGCTCCGTGCAGGAGACGGGCACCAGGCACAGGCTCCGGCTCCTCAGGTCGCTCGCCCGTGGTGGCTCCACCACCGTCCCCGCCGCGCTCTCCTTTGCGGCGAAGTACGAGCACGGGTGTTAATTAAGTTAAAAAAAGTCCGGTTAATTACTGGGAGTAGAATAGAATAGTTATAGTAGTAATTACTGGCAGTAAGTTTTGGGTTTGGGTTGGCGTTTGCCGCTTGGTGCTTACCGGGACGTGCGCTGAGGCCGGCTGGCGCTGCATGTACTGCGAGCTCAGGACCTGACATCAAACACGACCGGTGCCAGTTAAGTTCCAAACAGTAGCTGCACGGTGCACCAGACCTGACCAGCAGACCTAGGCACCACAGGAGTATACGCAAAAGATATACAGACATTTTACTGGGATTCCGGAATACATACATTATACATAGACATGGCAGGAACACACACTGTACCAAGCATCGTGTACTGCGCTAGTTTTCGTATGTATCGAGAGAGATGCAAAGGCCTTGTTTAAATAAATTTAGTGTGTAAAGTTTTGATGTGCCAAATGAAGTGTCACATGGAAATGTCACGTGGAGTGTTCGGATGTTAATAAAAAAAATAAATTATAGAATCCATCAGAAATCCACACAGAATCCATCAGAAATCCACGAGACGAATATATTAAGCATAATTAATCTGTTATTGGTACACGTGTTACTGTAGCACAACATTGTCAAATCATAAACTAATTAGGTTTAAAAAATTCATCTCACAAATTAGTCGTAAACTATACAATTAGTTATTTTTTAGTCTATATTTAATACTCCGTGTATATATCCAAACATTTTATTTAACAGATAATAAACTTTAAAGGGACAAACTAAGGAGGTGTTTGGTTTCTACAGGCCCTCCTAAAATTCCTGTCACATCGAATGTTTAGACATATGCATAGAGTTTTAAATATAGATTAATTACGAAACTAATTACACAACTTGCGACTAATTTGAGAGACGAATTTTTTTAAGCCTAATTAGTCCACGATTTGACAACATATACTAATGACAGATTAATTAGACTTAAAAAATCATCTCACAAATTAGCCTCCATCAATATAATTAATTTTATAATTAATTTATATTTAATATTTTTTATTAGTATCTAAATATTCGATACGACAAACAACCAAACACGCCTGAACAACACGGCGCACCTGAACCTGGTCGTGAAGGAAGCGTATGTATCCCAGCGCCTCGTGCAGAACGGAGGCCGTATCAGACTGGCAGCACCGCATCACAGTCGCAGGCAGCGGCAAAGCAGGGCCGGGTCCATGCAAATGCAGTTCATATCAACCCGTCAGTCAAAGGTCAAAAAAGAGGGAGACAGGGTTAATCCACTGCGCTAATTAACTGCTTCTGTTGCTACTCCTAGGCCTTGTTTAGTTTACATCAAAATTCCAAGTTTTTTCACTCTCTCTCCATCACATCAATTTTTGGACGCTTGCATGGAGTATTAAATATAGGTAAAAAAAAAAACTAATTACACAGTTTAGTTGAAAATCACGAGATGAATCTTTTGAGCCTAGTTGGTCCACGATTAGACAATATTTACCAAATAAGACGAAAGTGCTACTATTCATCGGGTTGAAAAAATCTTCAATCTAAACAAGGCCCTAGCATGCAGATGCAGCACCAGCACAGCAGCGCAAACAAGAGATCTGCGCTGCACGTCAGTTAATGTGTATCAGTATGTCACTTTGACCGCTTTCTTTGGCTCAGAGTAGTAATGTGACAGGGGATGCTGCCTGCAAATCTGTGCTGCATTGAGCGGCCTGTTTGCTTTCGCCGGTGTGGTGTTTCACGGCAGCAGAAAGGCTCGCAGTTAATTTGGCTGTCTACGTTTGCACCAGCAAAGGAAACGCCGAAAGGCAAGTACAGGTACAGGGAGCGAAAGTAAAGGGCGTATCGCCAAAAGCCTGAAGCGTCTGCCTTTTTTACCTTTCCGAACGGAGAAACCAGCTGCTGCAGAGCTATGATCCTCTCCCCGAGCCTCTCCCTCCTCACCTAAAACAAAGATGATTTTTTTTTATGATTTTGGATGAATGAATGAACTGATTGATTAGCAAAACATGAACAGCTCACTAATTTGGTGTAGTACTAATCAGTGCCAGATTGGACCACAGCTGATTAGCAAACATTACTGTCACTCAAGCGGAAAGAAAGCACTAACCCTCGGCCTCTTGTTCGTAGCACCACCAGCAGCAGCGCCAGGAGCGGCAGCGGCAGAAGCAGCCTTTCTTTGCTCACTGCTCCTTGATCCCTTCTTCTGCACAAGAACCAACAACTACCAACTACTTACTGTATTCCGTAGTTTATTACAGAAATTGCAGCGACAACCGTTCATGAACCGCGCAAAGATCCAACAGAGACACCATCCAAAACCATCACTTATTCACAATGCAAGAAACCAAGAAAAAGAACCAATCCGGCTTGCAGCCAGTAAAGACGATGGCCTCAAGGGCAGGCTGAGAACGCACCTTGAAAGCCTGTGGCTTTGAGCAGGAGACGGCGGAGATGGCTGTCGCAGGCGGCGAGGACGACATGGAGGAGATGGAGGAGGAGCACTCGGTGGTCGGGCTGGACTTCTGCGGGACAGCCGCCGGAATCGCGTGATCGCCTCCGTAGCACTGGAAGCCGAGGACGCCGTCGCCCTGGTACTGTTCTTGGCCAGCGAAGCTCAGCATGTGGTGGTAGGCGGGAGCCAGGTCCAGGTAGGAGGTGCAGGTCGTAGGCAACGACGCGGCAGCAGTGGTGGAAGTGGTGGCGCTGGTGGTGGTGGCGGAGGCGATACTGGAAGTGAAGTAGGAGGAAGGGGACAGGGACAGCAGGTAGTCGTCTTCTCCGAGACCAAGCAGGTCCACGTAACCGCGCCCTCCTCCTGCCTCGGCCATGATCTCCTCTTCCTTCACCATGATCACTACTAGAAGCTGGTACTACTGCCACTGCAGAGGAGAAGGAGATGACGAGTTACGAACAAGGAGGGATTTGGCAACAAGGTCAGATGGGTGGGCGATTTTGGATGCAAGAAGAGAAAGAGGGAGAACCAAGATTGGTACCAGTCGGGGTCCTCTGTTTGGGTCAAAGAAGTTTCGCGCCTTGTTGTAGCCTTCTGCGGAAGCTGTGTCTCTCTCAGGTCTGAGCTCTGTCTCTGTGTTCAGATTCATACACGCTTGAACACGCCTCCACTTTTGAAGGGTTTTATTGGGGAGCGCTGCACGAGATTGGAGAGAGACGGGCTGAGCTGAGCTCGGCTCAGGTCAGGTGAAAGGGGACCATTTTTCCGTCGTCTGTGCTTGCTCGTTTCGCCTATCTATAGGCAACAATCGATTGAGCAGTGTGTAAAAGAGAGCAGCACAATATCGAAGGGAACGGAGGCTACTACTACTAGAGTACTAGTGATGTGGGACCAGATTTTCCCCGACCAAGCCATTTTTTGGTAGAGATGTACGTTCAGCTCATGAACCATATTTATTAGTTATTATAAGTAGGTAATGTGTTCTTTTATTTTTCTTGTGAGACATGCGAGTAAAATGACGTGAAAGAAACCAAAAGTTGGGCTGGATCTGGCTTCGGTTATTGTTTGGCTAAAAACAGCAAAAGGTTAGATTTATTTTCCAGATCTAAACACCAATATATATGATTTCAATTATTCGATGGACTAAGATGAGGAGGATATGCCTGGATATCATGACACTAAGCTTCGCAAGTATTAAGGGCTAGGTTTGTTCGGCCTCCGGCTTCGTACTACAGTATTGGAGGAGTCACAAATCATGACTCCTCCTAACTCTATGTTCATTTTGCTATACCGTGCCAAGCCTTGCCAAACACGCCATAAGGTGATCTTGGGTAGGGTTTGAGCTTCTAGAAAGGAAGGAGCCGATAAAAACCCTATTTTAGTAGATTTGGCTTCTAACCCTAAAACAATTTCATCTTCACCTTTTTTGCATTAGTTTTGGCTTAAAAAGTTGTTCTTTGTATACTTGTTTAGTAGGGCTTTTAATTAAACAGATAGACAAGCCTCAACAATAGACCTGAGTAAATCGAGCCCGGCCCGGCCCGGCCCGCGGGTTCGGTGGGTTTTAGCCTGCCCACAAACCTTAGTGGACAAGGCTTGGACAGAGATCATGCTGCCCAAAAGTTTTTTTTCTCGGCCCGAGCCCAGCCAAAATATGTATTTTAGCTGTTACACTACAAACGGCACCGGAGGCCCGCCCGAGCCCGGCCCGACTCGCCCATGCAACTCAAAGTGTTCCTTTCGATCTATGCATGCACAAATGAATGAATTGTGAATTACTACGAGACAACTAAAATGACACTAAGTTGTCTATTAAGCTAATTCATGATTACGTGAAACTATAAGGTGTTGGTATATTATTTGTAGCGATGGTTCCAAGACGTGAAAAGCATTGCAACCGATACTATTGGAAAAAAGAAGTTATAGTAATAGAAGATGCAAGATCAACTTGAATTTAGATCTACAAGAGAGCCAATATATAATTTACGGAAGATTTGGAAAGTGTTTTTTACACTAACAGAGCTCAACAAGATGAGACTTAAGGCTACTTGATTTGGTCTCCACTAAAACTGCACAGTCATGAGATTAGAATAGGGGAAAAAGGGAGAGGCGGATAAAAGATGTCGATAGCTCTAAACGAGGATTAGAGGTTATGACTTTAGATAGAGTAAAGACGTGCAGAGACAAGACAATTATCATGTATCTTTAGCTAGATCGTTGAATATATTTTTATAATAAATTTATTAGAGATATAAATATTGTTAATATTTTTTATAAATCTAATTAAATCAACATGAGTAATATAACGATACTTTGAAAGGGATAGAGCAATACTAGTTCGTAAGTCCGTTTATAGAAGCCATGACGAAACAAGGCCGAAAGCCTGAAACTGTGGTATGACACCCGGTGAAACACTCCATAATTTTTTTTACACTCCATAATGGGGCCGTTCGCCGGTCTGGAAAGACCAGCCAGCCGGCTGCTCCCCTGTTCACCAAACCAGCCGAACAGCGTTTCTCTCTCACACAACCAGCCAGTTTCAGTCAAGTTTCAGACAAGCGAAGGAGGCCAATAAAACGACCAGCTCCTGTAGCCTCTAGGCAGACCTAGGTTCTAGCTACTCCTAGCTGGCTAGCCGCCATGACTTGACATTTCGCAAGTTTGTGGTGTTGCCTGTGCGTAGACGAGGCCATTAGGTCTACACATATGTCTGGGTTGTGGTCGGCCGTTTAACCCTAGCCTTGTCCCCGCATCGCCGCCTGCGCGACAGACCAACGACCGCGATGCGCAGCGGCCCACACCGGAGACATGTTTGCGTAGGACTCGTCGTTTCCCTTTCTTCTATGTCCGTCGATATATAATACTACGGCTACGACTACCGTCTACCTACCGGGACTCCGGGAGGGGAGTACAGGAGACGGGACTTGCCTCTCGCCCCGACTCTCCACTCCTCGGGCGGGGCGAACCCCAGGTGGGCTCGAGCTGCTTGCTCTATGGGTTTTTTTTTTCTCTCTTCTCTTCCCTTCATAGTCTAATTAGGTTTAAAAGATTCGTCTCGTAAATTTCGTTTAAATTGTGTAATTAGTTTTATTTTTTATTTATATTTAATGTTTCATGCATGCGTCCAAAGATTCGATGTGACGGGGAATCTTGAAAAACTAGGCGGCAAACTCCAAATTCGATGGTTCCTCAATCTTGCGGAAATGCAATGCATACGGACGCTGGAAGAGGCCGCAAAATCCAAATACCAACAGACTTTCAGAGACAATGATGGCCTCATTTCCTAATGTTGATTAGCCTACTCTACGGCCTCACTTCAAGTGACGCTGGATATATAGACGAACACCAGTTCAGAGTCCAACTCTACGATTTTGTAGTATATTACTTTGCCGCATCAGTCCATATTGCAAGATGCTTCTGCAGGCTGAGCTGTTAGCCTCATGACAGTCTAACACGGGCCCACTAATCAGTTAGAGGAAAATGTATTGTGCAGACTCTAATACGTTTCTTACGACACAGACAGGAACAACAAAAAATGAGGTCCTGAATAGGCCTGCAATCTTATTAGGCCCCTTTCGCTTCGCTGAAAAAACAAGTTGAAACACTGTTCCGGCTGATTTGTTGGGAGAGAAAAACACTATTTCGACTAAAAAAATGAGCTGAAAAGTACGGATTATAAGACAAACGAACATGCCCTTAGTCATCATTTGTTTGGACACGAACGGTTTTGGCTGGCTGCGACGAAGAAGACACGAAGTACATCACGATCCAGGCAGATGATATGAGAAATTTTATGCTATGAATCATGAGGTAACAACAAATAACTAAATTAAAGGACAGTTGGTAGGCATCCATTTCGGCACGCCTACATAACTTGGCTGCTCGTGAAGGGGTTCTTGTAGAATGAGAGCGAGGCCGAGGCTGCTCGGATTAAGTACACGAACGTTGACATCACAATCAAAATAACAAGACTATGGAATTGTCTGCCTGTGTTCAGGTCGCACAAGTTGGCCTACCTTCATTTGATTTTCTTAATGCAAACTTGTCTCCTTTTGTGCATGTATGGCCCAACAGATCACGGGTTCCGCGTTCCGTTTTTTGCCTACTTGGCTTGGAATTTGGCAAACGGATAAATAACAGCTGCTGCTAGTCTCTTTCCTCCAAAAAAAACATAAGCAAAAGTTAAGCCTTTTTTTTACTGAAAGTGACAGAACAGAAAAAAAAAGATGTACTCTACAGTCCTGTTCACAGATTCAAATTTCACTGCATAATTTGAGCTTATTACCGAAACAGGACAAGATCTAAAGGTTAGGCTATCACGCCTCACAACTATTGAGCTCATTTCACCACCACTCTAGTTCAACTTGATTTACTAGACAAACTGAAGAATTAGTTAATTAAGTTGTAAATTGGATTCATGAATAAATCCATGGCCATTCTTAGAAAAAGGGTTTACAGAAGAAGAAAATGCACAGATTTTGAGAAGAAATGCAGCTTAAAAGATAATGAATCACGCATCCCGCAGCAATATCTTAAAGCAGAGCTTAACAGTAAAGCCCACCGCTTGCCTTTGTGAAAGAACCCTAAACGACAAGAGAAACACTCATGGCAAACTCCAATTGGGCTTTGCTTGTGGTTCAGGATCTCTAGAAGGCCCTAATAGACAAACGATGGGCCAAGCATGAGCCTGCCAAATTCCGGTTCGTACAAAGCAGCCACGCTCAGACTACAGACGTGAACCCCATGTTTAAGATCCTACACGGCACTTCCATTTTCTTCGGAACATGGTCTCAAATTTTGTAAGGAAGGCTTTGACTAAACGATTGGATGCTCCATATCAGCTAAAGTTATTGGTGTCCACTAATCAGCTGGTCAAACAAAGATACATTAGCAGAGAAATGGAGAGCCACTTACGTGATCTACAGCTGCAGCTGTCCGATAGGAAAACCAGACATAGTGGACCAAGTGCCCCCCCCTCTACTTCAGCACCTACAAGGAAAATCAGGATGCCAAATACTCTTTGTTAGACTAAAAATAACAATATGATCTTGTACAGGCAGATGGGCAATAACTTGGATTGCACGTTTAGCTGGAACAAGACATGTCTGCATGATAAGAAAATGAAAGCTGGTAGTATTATTCAAGGCCATGGGCGGATACAGAGGGTATTCCCCGTATTTCCAGGAATACCCAACTATTTTAGCACACTTCTATGTATATATGTCTATATACTTGTATATGTATATGTATATGTATAATGCCATATTTTGTAGTATTTTCACTCATTGAAGCCCAAAACAGTAAAAAAAACAGCCTCTCAAATTGGCTTATATTTTGTAATATTTTCACTCATTGCAGTTAAAAACAACTGATTTTTTTATTGACGTGGAAGTAGAA